TTTTTTTTAGGGTTTTTTTTTCATTTCTAAGTAATAAAAATTAATTCATTCATGTATTATGTTAATTAATAGTAATTAATGAAGTAATGAATTGTTTTTGATAAGAAAGAGAATAAAAGATATGATTTGTTATTTATTTTGTAAGAGTTATATGATGGTAATAAATAAAGAAGTATTTAAGAATAAAATATGATGAAGATAATGAAGAGTTAAAAGATAATAAATAAATATTAAATAAAATATTTTGGTTTAAAATTTAAAACTTTTTAATAATAAAATGGAAGAGCAAGAAAAAAGAACAACAGAACCAATGCAAGAAGAAGAAATAAAGAAAGAAGAAGAAACAGAAAAAAGAACAACAGAACCAATACAAGAAGAAGAAATAAAGAAAAAAGAAAGAAATGAACATAGAAACTACCCACCATTATTAAAAATTTATCCAATTGAAAATTATCAAATAGATAAAAAAGAAAAATTAGATAAATTAAAACATCAAACATTTGGATATCAAATGGACCAACTTAAAATATCAGTTGAAAAGAATCATGTACCAAGAACATCAGTTTATGGAGTTATTTTAGTTCATAAAAATAATTTTCCACATTTATTAGTATTACAATCAAATTTATCAATGGATTTAAAAGATGAAATTCATCTTGTTGGAGGAAGATTAAAAATTGGAGAAGATGATCCTGTTGAAGGATTAAAAAGAAAATTAAGAAAAAAAATGTCAATGGAATATATTACACATTATGAAATAGGAGAATTACTTGGAACATTTTATAGAATAGAATATGATAAAAATTTATATCCATATATCCCAGTTCATGTAAGTCAAGTCAAAGAAATTATTAATATTTATATGATTCATCTTGTTGAAAAATGTGATTTTAAAATATTTGATACAGACAAATTAAGTTCAATTCCACTTTTTGCATTACATAATAATTTTGAAAAATACAATATTACACTTTGTTCTATTCCAACTTTAGTTTCAAGGTATCTTATGATTTATGGTTAATAAAAAATAATTTAATATGAATTTGTAAAATTTAAAATTATTTTTATTAAATAAAAAAAAAAAAAAGAAAAAAGAAAAGAAAAAAGAACTTAAAGAAATTAATGAATGTACCTAATTTAAGAAGTGAAGGATTAACTCAAGAATCATTAAAATTAACACAAAACTTTATAATAGGAGGATTAACACAACCACTTCCTGATTCATTTCAAAGTGTAGAAATTGGAAGAATTACAATGCTTATGTTTTATTTAGGTGCATATAAAATATTATTTCCAGAACAACCACTTAACAAAGTAATAGATACAGAAAAAACTATACAATATATTTTAACATCACTGAGTATAAAAAGTGATTCAAAAGAAATATTTCAAGGATTTACAGGATGTGAAATGTATGGAATATTTAAACATGGACATATTAGTTATACATATGCAGCACTTGCATCACTTTCACAATTAGGATATGATTTAAGAAGAATTGATAAATCTAAAATTGTAAAATCATATCATACATTATTTAGAAAAGAATGTAAAGGAGTATTTGCAACAAGTCTTGAAGAAGAAGGAGAATATGATATTAGATTTGTATATTCATTATGTGCTACATGTTATTTATTAAATGATTGGGGAAGTATTAATAAAGAAATATTATTTGAATTTATTATGAGTTGTAGAAGTTATGATTTTGCATTTGGTCAAATGCCAAAAAGAGAAAGTCATGGAGGATCAACATATTGTGCAATTCAAAGTTTATCATTAATGGGAATGATAAATAGATTAGATCATATTGAAGAATTAGTTCAATGGCTTGTTCAAAAAAGTTATTTAGGATTTTCAGGAAGAATAAATAAACCAGCAGATACATGTTATAATTATTGGATTGGTTCAACATTAAAAACACTTGGATATGAACATTTAATAGATAAAAAATTTGTATTGTTTGTTTGGAATTATTTAAATAAATAATAAAAAAATAAGAATTTAATATATATAGAGCATTTACAGAAAATTGTGTGTCAAAAAGATTTGGAGGAATTGGTAAAAATCAAGAAGCATTACCAGATCCAATGCATACATTTTGTTCATTAACAGGATTATCATTAATTGGAGCATTACCAGTAAAATATACAATTGATTCTAGAATAGGAATTGAAAAACCATCATATCTTTGATAAATTAAAATAAAAGTTAATTTAATTTTTCTTTTTACAAATAAAAATTAATTATCATTGTTTGCAACTTGAAGTAATATTTTGTATATCTCACTAAATGCTTTATTAATTTGTTCTATTTCTTTTCCTCCTGTAAATACTATTTTTCCTGATGCAAAAATTAATAATACCATTTTAGGGTCTGCTAAACGATATACAACACCTGGAAATATTTCTGGTTCATATTTAGTAATTTTTGGAGCAAGTTGAATTAATTCTTTAAGTGAAATAGCAAATTTCATATCACATGATGCAACTACATTTTGTATTTTAAAATGATTAAATTTAACATTATATCCAAGTCTTTGTAAAATTCTTGCATATTTTCTTCCTGCTAATCTTGAGTCATCAACTGTTTTTCCTCCTGTAACAACTAATTTTCCTGAATGAAAAACAAGTGCTGTTGTTTTTGGATTTGTAATTCTTATTATTAATGCTCCAAATCTTTTAGGGTTATATTCTGCATTTCTAACTCGACGAACAACATCTTGTAAATTAATTGTACAATCAAGTTCTACTGTTGCTACTATATTTCTATTCTTTAAATATTGATTAAATTATAAAATTAATTAAATACCAAACTGAATAACTGGTTTTTCAATTTCATTTGTAGGAACTGGTAATTGTTTTATTATTGGTTTATTGTTATTACTCGATATTTCTAAATCATTGTTTGTTAAAGAAATTGGAGATGATTGAGAAGACATTTATTTTTTGAAGATTATTTTCTTCTTCTAATTTTTTTTTTT